AATTCATTATTTCAGTGTATTAGTGGAAGTTAGCTGTGCAATTAAAAAGCAGTTTGGGGGGGGGGGGGAGACTTCCTTCACCCTGTGTCCATCTGTCACTTATTCACTGCATCTTGAGAATTTTCCAGCTGTATGTTGTGCAGTGGTGGAAAGTTAACATCTGGAAGGCAATGAATGAAAAGTAAAGTGGATTGGAAATAAAAAGCAGAGCCAGGTTTAATTCTCTGCACCCCCACTGCTTGTTTGCTGATTGTTCTGCTGAATATGCTCTATTCTATTATTAAGTATATACACACATGTATTAATACTTTTAACTAAGCTAGAACAGGATAGAAAAATAAATGAAAATTCTTTGGACTGACCAGCAGAGGGCACTATTGTAACAACATTAGCAACAACTTTTGTAAGTAGGATAAATAAGTTTTTCTAAATACTGCTAAGGATATCCATATTTTAATCCATCAATTGGTGGAATAGTTTTCAGTTCCTGAGTTGAGTTTTCATTCATACTTGCTAAAAGGAAAGAGAATTCAAAAAGGCATCAATGACACTATTGTTACTTATTTATTTGTTATTATTTATTATTGCTAACTTAAAAGACGAAAATTAAGGTGGAAATTCCATGTATTCTGAAACAATCTAACTGGCCTGTAACAAAGAGGCATGCCAGGAAACTGATTCATTTCACAGGATATAGAATAAGGTTGGAAGGGACATTGGAGGTCTTCTAGTCCAACCCCTCTACCTGTGGGAGATCCTACACCCATGATCGCGAACCTGTGGCACGCAGAGCCCTCACTGCAAGCACGTGAGCTGTCGCCCCAGCTCAGCTCCACTGCGCATGCACCTCCCACCAGGCATCTGATTTTTGGGTCTCTGCCATGCGTGCGCTGGGGTGGGGGAGTGCAAGGTGTGTGTGGTGCACACACAGGCAGCCCATTTTTGGTTGCAGGAAGCTGCGGAGAAGCCTACTAGGACCAAAATAGGGTGCTGGCAGGGCTGTCATGGGGGCATCTGTGGAGGGGAGCACAGGGGGTCATGCATGCACGTTCAGGAGGTGGGGTGTGCGTTGCATGTGTATTACATTATTGGTGCAGGCGTTCATGTGGGAGCTGTCATGTGTATGCGCATTTTTGGCATGTGACAACAAAAAGGTTAGCCATCTCTGTCCTACACCATTCCTGACTTCCTTTGAGCTTGATTAGATGGATACACATGATCATAGAAAGAATAATAGAACAGAATAACTGTTAGATCTAGGGTTGAATGAAACCACACTGAATGTTCTTCAAGTAAAGCTCTTTATTATAAGTCAAAAGTAACACCAGCAAAACAGTCTGGCTGACAGCTCTCCTTTTATAGGCAATCGTTTTAAACCAATTCTCCCACGTAAACAGCGGACCTGACTGAAGACTTCAGCTCTTGGCTTCAGGAACTAAGTACAATTTCTAACAATGATAGAGTTGGAAGGGACATTGCCCAACCTTCTACCCAAGGAGGAGATCCTATTCCACCCTGTCCAATCTCTTCTTGAAAACCTGCAGGGATGGAGCAAGCCACAACTTCAGGAGGCAAGTTGTTCCACTGATTGATTGTTCCCATAGTCAGGAAATTTTTCCTTAATTCTAGGTTGGATCTCTCTTTAATGAGCTTCCACCTTCCTCCTCCGCCCTTCTGGTGTTTTGAAGAATAAGTTGACTCCCTCATCTCAAGTAGACATACCTAGTTCCCTGAATCATTGAGGGAAAATAAATTATTGGTTTTTTAAAAATCATATGGTGTATGCCTCCAGACCCCTGACCATTTTAGTTACTCTTCCCTGTACTCTTTCTAAGACTTCCCACAGTCGCTAAGCCATTAGTCATGAGTTAAGGACTATCTGTATCACACTTAATGCCATTCCATAGCTCCTCATAGAAATCTGCCTGAAATCCATCAAAATGCTAGAAATAGCACCTAAATAAGAAGTATGTCACTAGTCGGTAATAATAATTTAAACTCCTCTGTTTTGCTAATTTGAAGAAACTGAGATAAAAGACCTGGCTAATACTTATACCCATTAAATGACAGAAATGGCCGCCAGGACAGAAATTTTTTTTAAAAAGAGGAAAAAAGTACATGGATGTAATCCCAAAACTGGATTGCAGCTTTAAGGAGTATTTAATTGTTACATCTTTTCATTCAAGACAGAACATGATGTTGAGACATCCACCCACAAAAGAAAGGCTTCCAACACTTTATCCTCTTTCAAATGCATACCTTGTCATTTTTAATCTCGATCTGATGTAATCTAATATTTTCAGAAATAGATATTAAATATTCTTAGCTGCCTCAGGTGGGACGGTTCACACAATACTTGTGTATTG